ACATTCCATTATGTTTTATTTTTAAAATTTCAGAGTGATAGCCGGGTGTGATGGCTCACACCTGTAATCCCAGCGCTTTGTGAGGCCGAGGCAGGCGGATCATGAGGTCAAGAGATCGAGACTATCCTGGCCAACATGGTGAAATCCTGTCTTTTAAAAAATAAAAATAAATAAAAAATAAATTCAGAGTAATAATGAAAAAACAAAACAGCACACTCCCCCAAGCCTCTAGTAATAGGCAAAATTAATTGGTGTGCTTCTAATTGTAAAAGTTTTTTTTTTTTTTTTTTCTTTTTCTTTGAGATGGAGTCTCACTTTGTCACTCAGGCTGGAATGCAGTGGTGCAATCTTGGCTCATGGTGACCTCTGCCGCCTGGGTTCAAGTAATTCTCTGCCTCAGCCTCCCAAGCAGCTGAAATTACAGGCACCCGCCACCACGCCCATAATTTTTTGGATTTTTAGTAGAGACAGGGTTTCACCATCTTGGCAAGGCTTGTCTTGAACTCCTGACCTTGTGATTCACCCGGCTTGGCCTCCCAAAGTGCTGGGATTATAGGCGTGAGTTACCGTGCCTGGCCAAAGTATTTGTTTTTACCTGTGAAATTATTTACTGTTAGGCCAAATCTGCAATTTCTGGCTAGTTGGTGTCATTAAGTCTGCCCTTTTAGCCCCAATTTAAGAAAGCATATTGATATTGAAATCCAAGTGAATGTCTTTATTATCCTTATAATCTGCTCTAAAGGTAAATCATTGGCAAATTTTTTTCCTTTTATTTTTAGTTGACATGTAATAGCTATACAAATTTATGGAATACAGAGTGATATTTTAATTCATGCATACAATGTATACTGATCAAACCAGGCTACTTAGCATTTTTAATGTAAGCATACTTATCTGTGAAAAGTCAGCTAGGGTCTACCATGCCTGATGAAGAAACTGGCAGGAAGAAGCTAGGTAATCTGTAAGCATTTTACTTTATCCTAACAGTAAGGTGGGATGGAGTGTAGCCCAGCATCCAATGGAAGCCATCAGTAGCTTGCTATATAATGCATGTAAAATTCTACCAAGTGACACAGGACTCACTGGAACATCTGCATGGATTCTGGCTTTAGAACCCAGGCAGGCTGAGAGATTGATGGGAAGCTGAAGTTTTGCAGAGGTGCCCTTACCGAAATCATGTTGCCAATGATACAGCTATACAACTTGATGATCTCATCCTTCTCCAATTTCTCATCTGCCATGTGTGTGTTGTAGATGAGTCTTAGCTGCATGAACGTGGCTATCAGAAACTGATCAATGTGGCCAGACATGGCTTCAGCTTTGTCTTCCTGTCTCAGGACCTCATCGATCTGATAACAAAAATTTCAAGATATATTTTCCAAGCTTCATACTTCTGAAGTAGCAGGAAATGCTATATGAAACTTCTCTGTAAGAATATTGATTAGCAAAGTATTTCCAAAGTCTTATCTTGAAAAAAATCCCATTTATTTTATTTATTTTGAGACAGAGTTTCGCTCTTTCGCCTAGGCTGGAATGCAGTGGCATGATCTTGGCTCACTGCAACCTCTGCCTTCCAGTTTCAAGCGATTCTACTGCCTCAGTCTTCCGAGTAGTAGCTGGGATTACAGGCGCCCGTCACCACGCCCAGCTAATTTTTTTATTTTTAGTAAAGACGCGCTTCACCATTTTAGCCAGGCTGGTCTTGAACTCCTGACCTCGTGATCCGCCCACCTCGGCTTCCTAAAGTGCTGGGATTATATAGGCGTGAGTCAGTGGGCCCAACCCCATTTTCTTTATATATAAATAACTAGGGATTTATTTACAAATTCCTCCACTTGGGAGGCCAACGTGGGCAAATCACTTGAGGTCAGGGACCAGCCTGACCAAGATGGTAAAACCATGTTTCTACTAAGAATACAAAAATTAGCCTGGTGTGGTGGCAGGCACCTGTAATCCCAGCTACTTGAGAGGTTGAAGCAGAAGAATTGTTGAACCCAGTGGAGGTTGCAGTCAGCCGAGATCATGCCATTGCATTCCAGCCTTGGACAAAGCAAGACTCCATCTCAAAACAAACAAACAAACACACAAATGTTTAGGTTTCAATGTTCAATTTATTAAAAAGAATGCTTTTTAGACTCTTTAGACAGGGCTGATATTAAGATTTCCATTTACCAGATGAAAAGTGAGGCTCAGAAAGATCACACTACTTGGTCCAAACTCAAAACTCAGCTTTATCACGTATTGGTCCAGTGTTCTGTTTCAGTACACTGGTTGTCACTAATGGTTAAAGGCATTATGTTTATATCCAACCTATTAGCAAGTTCTGTGGATTCTGCTTCCAAAAGAAACCCTGAAACCATGACTCCTTTCTTCTCCACTATTATCATCCTCGTGGCATATGGTATTGTTCATATAAATTTTGGCCACAGCTTCCTAAAAGAATTGCTGGAATCCACTCTTGCCTTGCATATAATCTTATATCTAGAGTGGCCAGAGTAATTTCTTCTACAATTAATACAAACAAAAAACTGCAAAAGTAAAAAAAAAAAAGTACATTACAGAAACACTGAAAGGGTAGTAAAGGAACTCTTTTATCCTAAATCATTTAAGAGTAAGTTGTCAATCCTATGTTCCACAACCCTCTGATATTTTAAGGTATACTTAGTGACAACAAGGACATTCTCTTTCGTAAGTACAATGAAACCATCAACATCAAGAAATTAACAGGCTGGGCCTGGTGGCTCATGCCTGTAATCCAAGCACTTTGGAGGCCAAGGTGGGCGGATCACCTGAGGTCGGGAGCTCAGGACCAGCCTGACCAACATGATGAAACCCCGTCTTTAAAAAAAAAAAAAAAAAAGGAAATTAACATTGCTGTTACTACCATCTAATTCTCAGACCCCATTCCATTTTCTCTAATAACCTCAACTATGTCCTTTAAAGCAAAAGACCAGTGTAGAATCATGCACTGCATCTGTCATGTCTCTCAGTCTCTTTATAGTCTAGGATGGTTCTTCAGTCTTTTCTTGGCCTTTTTGACCTTGAATTGTTTTTTTTTTTTTTTTTTTTTTTTTTTTTTTACAGAGTCTTGCTCTTGTTGCCCAAGCTGGAGTGCAATGGCGCAATCTTGGCTCACTGCAACCTCCACCTCCCGGGTTTAAGTGATTCTCCTGCCTCAGCTTCCCCAGTAGCTGGGATTAGAGGTATGCATCACCATACCTGGCTAATTTTTTTTTTGTATTTTTTGTATAGACCGGGTTTCTCCATGTTGGTCAGTCTGGTCTCGAACTACTGACCTCAGGTACCTGCCTCAGCCTCCCAAAAGCTGGGATAAAAGCATGAGCCCTCATGCCCGGCTTTGACCTTGAATCTTTAAAAGATTGTCCCTTAATTTGTATTTCTTTGATGTTTCCCATGATTCAGGTTATGCAACATTAGAAATATCAGCAAAGTGATATGGAACTCTCACTGGATCCTATCAAGTGTAGCACATAATTTTCTTTTGCCAGCTTGACGTGGTGGCTCACACCTATAATCCCAGCATTTTGGGAGGCCAAGGCAGGTGGATCACCTGAGGTCAGGAGTTCGACCAGCCTGGTCAACATGGTGAAACCCTGTCTCTTCTAAAAATACAAAAATTAGCTGGGTGTGGTGGTAGGTGCCTGTAATCCCAGCTACAAGGGAGGCCGAGGCAGGAGAATTGCTTGAACCCAGGAGGCAGAGGCTGCAGTGAGCCGAAACTGTGCCACGGCACTCCGGCCTGGGCAACAGAGCAAGATTCCATCTCAAAAAAAAAAAAAAAAAAAAATGTGTCATAGTGTTGTTGATTCATTTTGGGTTTATTTATTTGTTTGTTTGTTTGTTTGTGACAGAATCTTGCTTTGTCACCCAGGCTGGAGTGCAGTGGTGCGATCTTGACTCACTGCAGCCTCCACCTCCTGGGTTCAAGTGATTCTCCTGCCTCGGCCTCCCCAGCAGCTGGGATTACAGGCATGCTCAGCTACTATTTGTATTTTTAGTAAAGACAGGGTTTCACCATATTGGCCAGGCTTGTCTTGAACTCCTGACCTTGCGATCCACCTTTCTTGGCCTCCCAAACTGCTGGGATTATAGGCATGAGCCACTGTACCGGCCTTTTTTTTTTTTTTTTTTTTTTTTGAGACAGGGTTTTACTCTGTCACCCAGGCTGGAGCAAGTATAGTGGTGCAATCACAGCTCACTGCAGCCTCAACCTCCTAGGCTCAAGCAATCTTCCCACCTTAGCCTCCTGAGCAGCTGGGACTCTATGCAGGAACCACCATACCCACCCGTGATTTCTGTTTTTATAAATTTCTAATGATTTCCCATCATAATTGAAATAAAATCCAACTCACCCTAGTGCTTTTAAAGCCCTACATGATTTGATCACTGCCCCTCAAATCTCATGCTGTATCATTCCCCACCTTGAACGCTATGCTCCAGGCACATGAACCTTCTCTTACTTCCTTGAACTTGCAAGCTCATTTCTGCCCTAAGTCCTTTGACTACTAGCTGTTTCCTCTGCTTGGAGTCTCTTAGCCCCACACATATCAGAGTTTTCCTGATCACCCAGTCTAAGTAACTACTCAGTTTCTCTCTTTCATTACCCTGTTTGAGTTATATTTACATAGTAGTTACAACTGTGTGATATTTTCTTGTTTACTTGTCTCTGTCCACTAAAATCTAAGTAAGTTCCGTGAGAGCTGGTCCTTACTTGTTAACTGCTCTTGTATCTCTAGCCTCTGGTGAATCAATGCAGTTAAAAAAATGAAAGGCTCAGCCAGGTGCAGTGATGCAAGCCTGTTGTCCCAGCTACTCAGGAAGCTGAGACAGAAGGACTACTGGAGCCCAAGAGTTTGGGGCTGCAGCGTGCTACGATAGTGCACGTGAATAGTCACTGCACTCCTGCCTGGGCAACCTAGTGAGACCCTGTCTCAAAAAAAAAGTAAGGCTCTATCAGAGCCATATCCTCTGAGACAAGTGATGAGTGAGTGGCCCCTGTGCATTTCTTTTCTCAGGAAAGTACTAAACACTACCTGCATCCCCCAATGCTATGACTTTATGAGTGTGCAACTCATCACTTTTACAGCCTGTGTTCACCAACGGAATCCCTATCACGGGAGCACACCCATTACCTGTGTCAGAGCTTGGATACTTGTGTTGATGTCACCACTGGCTACTTGGGAGATGATAAAATTGATTGTGGATGCTGTATTACTGTGCATGTCATCGAAGTGTGGAGAAACAGCCCGGATCCTAGATAGCAGAGTAAAGGGAAAACTTCAATTTCTATTACAAGACATCCCATTGGAGTTATACAATTCTCCACTAAGTCCAGGTCTTAGTTGACAACTACTATAATTCAGAGAGCAATCAGTTCTAAGAACTTTTAACTGCACACTACCACAAAGGGCACATTTCACATATGCTGTCTGATGATCATGAACTGCTTATATTTAAACAAAAGAGTTTAACTCACTTGGGTTCAGGAATAAGGACTGGCTCAAAAATGTCATCCAGTTTGTGCTGAACAAGTTCTGGCATTTCACATCGGACTGTACCATTGTCATTCTCAATCTCATCTAGATCCAGCTGGAATTCTCTGCGGATCATCTGGGCTGCCTCAGGATGCCCACTCATGCTTCGGGCTTGGCTAAGGAAAGCAAAAGGAGGTTCCTGAACTAAAAGAGACTTCTTAACCAAAGGGCAAGAGCAGCACTGTCAGTTGCCCCAAAGCTTCAGGACAGATGTTCAACTTCTGGTTTCAGCCCCCCTGAATGATTTAAGTCCTTGAGTCTAAGCAAGTGCCTTTAATAGGCAACAACACTGGTTCATGAATATCCTAAGAGGGCAGGTAACTTTAATTTGTACTTACATTACCTGCCAAGTTATAGTATTTGTTCTAGTTCACTAAAGCCAACAAACCTTGGACTTCTATTCCTTATGGGGCAAAAACCAAAAAAAATGTATTTATATTGACTCAAAGTCCATGACTTATGGGCAAATATATAAGAAAAATCTAGACTGGCTGGTTCTTTTCCAACAAATTAACAAGTGCTTTAATTTTGCTAATCATAAGTACCATTCCATGCAGTGTTCAGCACATTTTATACTTTGTGGGACCACCAGTCATCCCTTTTCAGGAATATTCACTCTTGACAGGTCAGGGCCAGCTTTACATTCAAGAAACAGGGATTTAAAGTTCCCAAATTCAAGTTGGTTAAAATTATACTCATGACACAACCCAAAATAGAGCTGTCTTGCTTAGGAGGCAGTATTTTGAGTCCCTAAGCCAATTCTGGGTTGCATGCATTTTATTTAGCCTTATCTCAAGAATAGGAAACTAAGCACAACCAAGTATAACACAAAGAAGAAAGTGAATCAATATTTAGCCACATGACATTGAACTTTTGTGGAAGACTTGATTCATGGGGAACTTATGGATACCCTCTACCCTGATTATAAACTGTAAGCTAGTCACCCTCCAGAGGGGATGAATCCAAGTCAGAAGTTAGAAAGATATAAGAGCCCTGCTAATGAGAAATTAGCAGGCAGTACTTACATCCTATAAGTGCGATACATAATTCTGTCCACGGAAAAGCAGTGAAAGAAGGCACAAGACCATTTAGAAGTGGTTTTGAGACAAAGACAAAGACAATGAAGACTGAAGGATCAAACATTTGATTACAATACATTTACCCAGACACTCTGTCATGCATGATAATGGCTACAAGAACTCAAGATCATGTTACAGGACAGGCTGTGAGCACATAAGGCAAAGGCCATGGAGATGCTTTCAGACAAGTATCTCTATCTACATACTTGAGTTTGGAAGACATGTCCTCAGCTGGTCCCTTGCGTAACATGTTGGCATTGGAGCTTATGTTCTGTACACGCTGAGGTTTCTCTTCCACCTGTTTTATTGGTGCAGCAGAGGGCCTCTTTGCTGACCGTTTAATCCTCTCTTCGAGCATGCTCATATCCTTTTCAGAAAGCTGTAAAGAGGCCAAATTTAGAAACCTAACTGGAGAACTCAATAATTAATATCTACTTTCATATCAAAACAAATAGAACCCTCTATGTTCAGAGATGTTTATTTTGAAAACACCACATTTCAAAATCAACTGCTGTTAATACCTGCCCAGCTGCCATCGTAAGAGACGATATGAAAGGAGAGGGGCTGGGCACAGTGGCTTATGCCTGTAATCCCAGCACTTTGGGTGGCTAAGGCAGGAGAATCACTTGAGCCCAGGAGTTTGAGACCAGCTTGGGCAACATGGTGAAATCCCCATCTCTACAAAAAGTACAAAAAATAGCTGGGTGTGGTGGCACATGCCTGTAGCCCCGGTTCTCGGGAGACTGAAGTGAGAGGATCACTTGAGCCCAGGAGGTCGAGGCTGCAGTGAGCCATGATCACACCACTGGACCCCAGCCTAGGTGACAGAGCAAGACCCTGTCTCCAAAAAAAAAAAAAAAAGGAAAGGAAAGGATAAAAAAGCCAATTTGTAACTACAAATAAAAAGGTCTAAAATTAAATGAAGCTTTCCCATTTTTTGTTTTGTTACCACTATCTAGCTGTGTGACTATGGACAAGAAACTTCATTTTTGGTCACCTGTAAAATTCCCAACTGCTTAATATTCTTCACTGGGTAGTAGTGAGAATTTAATTAGAAAATATAAGTAAACATATTTAAGCCCAGTGTAAATATAAGGTGACACTATGAGGTAACTGAAGACAGAGGTCCAGACACAATAATGACTGGGCCAAAGGAAATAAGAGGTCAGAGGCAGAACCTAGTGTGAGTGGCAAACTGGCTCATGGCTGGAGCTCAAGACGTGATCTGACACATACTAGTATCCACACTGTCCACAAGTAAGTACTTTTTAACCAAAAACTCAATGCAGTAAAAATTACAGAGCAGACTGCCAGGCAGAATTTAAACCCAGGACTAGCTTAGATTTCTTGATTCAAAAATAGCACCCATTTCTAAGGCAAATTTGCTATGAATAGAATGCTCAGAAAAGAAAACTTGATTTCTATTAAAACAGCCTAATCAAAGACACCTCAAAGGTCTATCTGGATTCTAGATCACATTGATTGGTTGAATTGACTAAAAAGTAATAAAAACTTAGCTACAGTTGAGAAGACAGGAAGCCTAACTAACAACTAGGAGATATTGCGATTCTTTTCACAACATGCTGACAGTGTTGAGAGAAGTCACTCACATTTCCAATCAGTTTGAACACCTGATCCCCATGTACATTGTACACGGTTACAATGGTGTTGAGGGCAGCATTGCGTACAGCATTGTCACGGTCTCCTATGTGAACAGCTATTTCCTTTAAGGCTTTTCCTGGGGTTGGTTGGCAAACATTCATGCCATAGGACTCAACCAGACATCCCAGCTCTTCCAGGCACTCTGATGGGGAAGAAAGGCTAGATTAATGAGACAACACACATTTGGGATAGAGACTTGGCATATATGAAGGACTAAAATCTTACTCTGGTTCTCCCTAGGATTTTTTGTTTACTGCCTTTTATCAGAGAAACAATGGTATTTCGGCAAGTGCTCCTGAAAGGAAGAGATGCCTGTGAGTCAGATGGCCCCTGTGCACTTGATTTTGTCACCAGGGTGATACTGAGTGGTGCCTGTATCACCTGATACCATGGCTCCACCAGTGTGCAACTCATCACTCTCACAGTCTAAATCAGGAGGTTGGAATCAACTACATAGGCACTGAAGAAATTTATTTGTTCATCTATAAACTATTTCTTCTATAGGCTACTGCTGCAGAGATCCACATCTCCATTTAAATTGTTTGCTTCACCTGCTCTCTGCTTAGAGTTTTTGGATTTGGTTCCTTCCATGATAAAGGGAAACATCTTGCTAGCTGGGTAGACAAGGCACATCCGGTTCAGGATGGCACGAACATCTTTACGAATGACATCTTTTGGTTCTCCAACCTAGTCAACAAGGAAAATAATGATTAAGTGAGACATTTCCTAAGTAGCAATGATTCTCCCATGCATTACTATGTTATGAAAGAATAGGGGGATAGGGATGAGTACTGTGATATAATCGGTAAAAAAGGGAGAGAAAATAAAAGTATAGAAACTGAGGTCAGCTGGGAACTTAAGCAGTCTCCCAGACAGAGACCACCACATTACCTTGACGACAAGATAGGGGATGAAGGAAGATGCTTCATTCTCAGTAAGATGATATTCTTCCTCACTCAGCAAGGTGAAGAGCAATTTTAAATATTCTAGTGCTTTCATCAGGACGCTCGTATTGGTGTCAAAAAACCTCAGGGTAAGCCACTTTAAGATAAGATCCAGGCAACCAATAACACCTTCTTTTTCACTCTCCAAGTGCTTAAAATAAAACAAAACAAAAATCCCACAAATAAGAATGTATAAAATCTTCTATATTCTTAAAGTTCTATTAGGAAAGTGTCTCTTAAATTTTATTGGAGCCCAAAAAGAAAATGACAGAGTTTTAAGCCTTCTATTAAGACCTAAAAAATATACACATATATCCATTTATTCTACCAAATAAGACAGCTCTAAAAATAAAGAACATAGTATATTCTACATCCTATATTCTACGTCCTTTTCAAGTCATGCAAACTTCTGATTATTTCATAGGACTCAGTATTTTTATATGTCTGAGATACATGCATATTTATCTGTTGCAGACTTACATCAACCATCACAGCCAGAGCTTTGTTATGATGCTGAAAGTCTGAGTGAAACATCTCATCTTGTAACCATTTAGCTACACAGCTAGACATTTGAGTCTTTAGTTGCTCAATGTATTCATCCCGTGGGGTAGTAAAATTCCACTTCAGCACCTGGAAAAAACAAACAGTGAAAAGGGGCTACAGGGTGTTCAACTGAAATGAGGTAAACAGCCTTATATAATGTAGCTACAGGAACAATAACATATTTAAAAATTTAACTATTCATTTGTAATTAAATATGAATGCAAATTATCTTTTCAAGATGTCATGCTTCTTAAAGCTTAACAACTCTGAAAATCTTGTAGGAATTAGAAATTTTTGGAATTCTTTTATTTTTTTTGAGACAG